CATGATGAACGTCCAGATCACCCAGATCCAGCTGCGGTGGGACGGGAGAGGCTCGTAGAACTCCCTCGCGATGCGGTGCAGTTCCGGCAGACGGGTCCATGGGATGGCGGGGAAGTCGTGGTGCTCGTTGTGCAGCCCGACGTTGTAGGTCAGGATGTTGAGCGGGCCGTAGTAGGAGTATGTCTCGGGAGGGACGAGAGAATCATCAAGAGGGCTGCCGGAACTGGCAGACTTGTTGTTGGTCTGATCGCCTCCGGCAGATTTGGCCTTGAGTTCCGCTATCGACTCGGTCCCACCGGTCTTGACCCGGGAGAAGAAGTAGTGTTCAGCAATGAAATGGCCCGCGCAGGGATGCAGAGACCCTGCGAGGAACGAGCTCCAGAGCAGGTAATAGAGCGGCTGAGCGGATCCGCAGAATCGAACCAGAGCATAGTCGAAAGCGAACTGCGTAATCAGGTTCAAGAAATGGATGTACGTAAACGGCGGGCTGTAGATGAACATGGGCCGGAGAGCATAGAAGAAGATCTGAAACGTGCAAAAGAAGGCCTTGCCCAGCAGGGAGTCGAGGAGGAAGGCTTCGAACGCGGTGGGTAGGTCCGTGTCGAGTCCGGCCACCCCAAGAGATTTATGATGCGTCAGGTGGTATGGCTATTATTCCCAGCGTCAGCTCTAGTAATCTCGTCCCTCAGGAAGAGTTAACGCACCCTAAACGCAGCACTGTACGGCAGACCAATTGGAAGGTTGGCAAAGATGGCCAGCAGCCGGTTCGCCAACGCGGAGCGGAAAGCCAAATTGTGGGAGATTTCATGGATGGCCAGGAAGAGGTTCTGGTTCGCCGTGGCGCCAATCACATACGCGGTGAGGAGGAATTTCCATGACAGCATGGGCGTGTCTCGAAGCAGGTAGGCACAGGTGATCTGGAGGGAGACGACGGCGAGGACAAGATATTTCGTAAGAGGTTCCGGGCCACATAGCTTGGTAACCTGTCCATCGTCACCATCCTCGTTAGCATCGTCGTCATTGGCATCATTTCTTCAAGATTATATCAAGTTCCTTTGGCCGTAAAAGCGGTGTAGGGGATATGTGTACCTCTGGATGGGCCTTGATAATAGCCTGACGCCGTGATCGATGCGGCTCCTCGGTATATGTCCAAAAGAAGTGATCCACTATAGAGGAATCAGGTGGAGGTACCCTTGCGGATTGCTGGGATCCTGTCGAGTCCTTGTTGTCCTTGGCCGTCGCCGACCCGCGCAGGTGAACGGCGGCGGTGGAGGAAGTGACGGACGCCATGGATGTAGAAAGATAGCGATGACTCGGCCTTAATTCAAAGTCCTAGTCCCCATAAAGGTGGATGAAGGTGTTTTTTCTTCTTTCATTTACAAACGACAGACCTCAAAAGAGCGGAGGGGTTGCCATGGCTGTTGGATGAAGATGGACCATCACCTCCGTCTCGGGATCGGAGACGAGCGTTTCCACGTGGGGCTACACGCGGACTTGGTTCGTGCGGCCCGCCAGGACAACAGCAAAAATAACCAGACATCGATCATTTCTATCTCGAATACTGAAGTATGGACAAAGAACCACTAGACTGAAGGAGTCATCTCTTTTCTTTCTTCATTCCCCCTCCTAACGTCGTAAGTACTGTACAGTACACATAGTCGTAGACATGAAGGATAGCGAGAGCTATCATTCACCTATCACGTCCATCATTCAATACTCATGAGGTTCCCTTTCGACTATCCATAGACTTCAAATCTAAGACTCGGTTTAGTAGTCATCACCACGGCTGAGAATCTCCTTTACGGTCGGTCGCAGCACGATGGTCTGTACCCGAAGTCAGCACGTGTATTTTAGTAATATTCTAGCGACAACGGAAGATCTCACATGTTCGTACTGGGCGGTGTATGAGCCCTTGATATCGCACAGGGGCGGGTAATCCTGAACGATTCCCGCAGAGACAAGGTTATTCAGCTAGATAGATGTTAGATCATAGTATTGACTCGAATCGGGCGGTGGGGAACATACTCCCAAAAGATATTTCTCCTGGCCAAGCCGGTCAAGGTACCGGCGGCAGAAGGGCAAGGTGCCAAAATTCTTCGTGATCACATTCAACAGATTCTTCGCGGACGACAGCCGCAGAGGGACGTTGGGAGCATCGGGAATCTTGGCGTAATGAGAGGTTTCCATCTGCAGGCTAGTTAGGACAGGATATCAACGGGGGTAGTTGCGTGACGGGGAACTGACATCGTCTCTCACGTAGCCCTTCCCGGTGCTGCCAAAGGTTTCGATCGCAAAGACCTCGCCTTCCTCCATCTTCGTCTGATCGCCACCCTTGACAATGGGCACGCTTTTACCGCCATGGATGATGTGTTGGTCGATGTTGTGTCCATTCAGGTTGCGAATCGCTTTCACGGGGTATGTGGTCCCGTTGATTTCGACCTCATAGCTCTCCATCGTTTCCTGGATGGCCGCACCGACGTCGCACACACGAACGTCGATTCCTGCTTCCTGTGAATAGGTCAGCTAGCTGTTCGCACGGTAGATCCTTGCGGGAAGGCTCATTAAATCATACCCGAATGCCAGTGTTGGTAGCATCCTTAACGGCAGCCAAAAGGTTATCGTAGACCGGGTCAAAGGCCATGGTGAAGGCACTATCAATGATTCTTCCGTTGATGTGGACGCCGAAGTCGACTTTCATTACGTCTCCCTTCTGCAGGACCGTCTTGTTGCCGGCGTTGGGGGTGTAGTGGGCGGCGCAGTGGTTGATACTCAGGCCGCACGGGAAACCCAGTCCTCCGAGGAGATTGTCTCCCTCCTCGAGGCCCTGGTGGCCCGTCAAGGCACGGACAGCGTCCTCGATGCTCTCCGCGATTTCCGTCAGGGTCTGGCCGGGCTTGATGGTCTTCTGCGCATACTGGCGGACCTGGCGGTGAACCTCAGCCGCCTGGCGATATTCCTGCAGGAAGTCATTCCTCATGCGGTCGAGGTAGCGCTTCTCCTCGTTGGTGGTCCGGTAGGCGTTCTCATTCAGATACTCAACGATTTCGCCTTCGGGATATTGGTTGTTAGGGAAGAGCTCGGAGACAGGAATCCGCGGAGGAGAGGTCTGCTTCTTTGCGCCTCCCTTCTTCTTCTTCTTGGACTTGCGCTTCTTTTTCTTCGCGCCTGTACGAATATACCATCATCTCATGTGAGCTTTTTGCGTGCGACCTTTTTTTTCTTTGCGTCTCGGAGTCAACAAGCCTCTCTTACCTCCAGCAGCGCCGCCTTCCGGAGCACCAGTTTCGTCCTCTTTATCATCATCCGAGTCGCCGTTCTCGGCCGCGTCGTTCGCAGAGGAGCCAGCAGCGGGGTTGTCCCCTTGGGCATTGCCATTCTGACCGTTCACTAGTGCAGCCGCATATCTTATCAGCAACTAGAAAAAGAAAATAAAATTTCAAAATACGCATCCAAGCTACTTACGGGTGAGCTTCTCCAGCTCCGCACTAGCCTGAGCAGCCATGTTGAACTGTTCTGTGCTCCGACCTGCGCTGCTGGTGGGGTTGCAAGAAAGAGCTGCGAGGCACGAGGGACGGAGATAATTATTTCAGGCGGTCATACTAACATAACAGCGCCATCGTTTCGCCGACCCGAGTGGCGGCATATAAAAACACACTCGGCTGCGTGAAATGGTTTTATAATAAGGGTATCGTGTTATATATTTGATAAATCGAGCTACATATATTTGCGGTTAATTGTATGACAACGAGAGATTTTCTCCTTGCAGAGGTCAAGCATCATCGCGCATTTTGTTACACGAAAATACATGCGTTCCAAAGTGCGTACCGCTAGGATACCTGATTTAATACCAAGCCAGCGATACAGTATTAATTACTACACTGAAAACTGCGCAGAAGAAGACAAAAATTTAAATTCTTTCCCTGAAAAAATAATAAGTAATTAAAAAAATTATAATAAATAAGATCGCCACAGCACTGCTCTTTTGTAATGCAAGGCCAGCACAGAATGCGTAATACACCACCTTACATAATAACGGACAACGGCACATCCAATGATCGATAAAAGCGCGGCCGCAGGCCCCGATGGAGTCGTGTGCTGCCGAAGTTCGGCGATCGATCGATCTTATCTTCAACTATATTATCTTCTTTCCCATCTCTGGTCTGTTGTCTGCATCGCATCATTCTACGGAATCCAAGCGCATTTCGAATTTCTTCACTCTTGCTTTCCGCTTCCGCTTCTGCTTATTTATCTGGGACCTGTTTCACCCCAATGTGAACGAGGAGGGCAGGCATGCCACCTCATCTGAGGACCCTCCCGAGGTTCTCCCCCTCTACGACTACAGCGACTACAACAACGACAGCGACATTCACATCTTCCAATCTCGCTCTTTCGAACAGACGACATGCCCGCGGCACATCCGCAACGAATTTCTCAACGACGGCAGGCGCTGGCCGGGAGCCAACGTACTATGAGATCCTCGATGTGCCGGTGACGGCGACCGCGGCACAGATCAAGAAGTATGTACTATACAATTATATCCACGAGGTATTTATTTTATCTTGCTGACCGTTTTTTGTTTGTTTTTACAGACAGTTCTACGCCCTCTCCCTCGCTCACCACCCGGACCGCAACCGCGACGATCCCACCGCTTCCGCCCGCTTCGCAAGGATCTCCTCCGCCTACCAGGTCCTGGGGAACAGCGCGGCGCGCGCGCGCTACGACCGAGACAATGGCATCGTGAACCAGAACACCTCTGGCGCCAATGCCGGCCAGCACCCTATGGGCAGCCACAGCAGCTACAGCGCCAAGGGCTCCTACGCCGGCTCACGGCCGGCTAGCGGGCTGAGCAAGAGACCAGGGCCGTTTCGCGGTCCGCCCCCGAGTTTCTACGCGCACGGCGGGTACGGCGCGAGAGGGACAAGACCGGGGCAGACGGCCTCTGCATCCGCATCGGCTTCAGCCGCGGGGGCAACTAGCAAGACGGAAGAGGACCCAACGTCGTTCATCAAACACAATCCGGTCGGACACTTCAACGCCCAGAGCCACTACCGAACGCAGGTCGCCGAAGACGCCCGACGACAAGAGCGGAAGATGCGGGAGCTGGGCCTCGGCGATCGAGACGTGGGGAGCGAAAGTGGCGGGATGATGCTACGGTTCTTGATCGTCTGCGGGATCTTGGTCGGGGCAGGCGCCGTCGCAGGGTTTTTCCAGACTCCAGGAAGCAGGTCATCATCATCGTCGTCATCATCGTCGTCGAGAAAGAGAGATGAACGATGACCGCTCACACCAACCCAATTCCCAATTGTCTTCGATTCGACATGCAGTATGTATATATTTCAGTGCCTTTCTTTTTTTGGAAGCACGACTAGATTAGACTGTTTTTTTTTCCTAGATTCCCTAGAATAGTTTCATTTCGTTTCGTTTCTCTGTAATTAATTGATCTTTACTGTGTTGAATGCGTTTCTGTACAAAAACACAAAGGAAATAGATTGTGGGTGACTGATATACAGGTAACTTGGTGCAGCATTCAAGCTGCAACTCTCGTACATGGTGGAATCTTGGAATCACCCTCCAGCCTCACGCCCTCTGCACTGCCATGGTCTCCCTCCATCTACCCCATCTTCCATGCTATTACGAAAAGGTAATCAAAGTAACGAAACCACTAGTTGTCGAAACTTCTAAACAAGGCCATGGACTGTCTCATACTTAAAAAGAGAAGTAAGGCAATTCTTGCTTGCCTTCATTATATCTGTTGTAAAGCACTGGACCTGGCGGACAGTAGGAAAAGAAACACAGGTGGCGAGAGGTCGAAGTGGGGGTAAATTTGTTTAGGGCGCTCTGGTTTAGCCCTCGAAGGTGAAGCTGGCACCAACCTTGTGGGCAGCCTGGTTCAGGTTCTGGGTGTCGAAAGAGGCGCCGAGGCCGAGAGTGACGCCAGGGCGGAGCAGAACGTTGTAGGCAAGAGCAGCAATACCGCGGTCGTTGATCTTGACCTATATATTGAAGAAACCAGTCAGACATTGTCACAAGACGCAGAATGGGGAGGAACGCACCTTAGCGAAAGAAGACGGGTCCAGCCTGTACTTGCTGGCAACCTCGAGGCCGACGCTGTTGCCGGCCTTGGAGTCCCAGGTAGCCTTAGCACCAGCCTCAACCTGCTCGTTCACGCGGTGGTAGTAGCTGGCAGAGAACAGAGAGAGGTTGTTGCTGGCAGTGATGGCAGCAGAGTACTGAGGAAGGCTGTAGCCGACGGCAGCAGAGTATTTGGTGATAGCGGCCTTCTGGACATCGTAGCCACCCTCAGCACCGACCAGGAAGCCCTCGTGGCCGAGGACGACGTCCAGGTTGGCAGTGGGTCCCTTGAGGAGGTCGAAGAAGGCACGAGCGTGCAGGTTGGGCTGCTTGAAGTACAGGTTCAGCTTAGCACCCTTGGACTGGGAGCTTGGCAGGTACTGCGTAAGGATCTCAGCCTTGAGACCCTTGGCAATGTTGTTGTCCAGCTCGAGCTTGGTGTCGAGGGCGTTGTTGGTGGACCAAGCCTGGGTGAGAGTGAGGCCTAGGAACGGACCATGATTAGTCTTCAATTCGATGAAGACATCATCGGCGCTCTATAGCAGCGCTGAAAGCATTGCAGGGGGTATGCAGATTGCGCGATTCAAGGGGGAGCTTTACCAATTGGCTTGTCAACGTACTTGGCCTCGAGCTGTTCAGGAAGTCCAATTAGCACATTTTTCTCATGAAGTCTCCTACATAGGGAATGTCGCAGCGGAGTGACGACGTACAGAGCCAGCAATGGGACCCTCGTGGGCGGACTTGCCCCTCACGGTGAAGGTGACACCATTGGGAGCGTTGGACTTGACCTCAAGGCTGGCTAGAGAAGAGAAGACAGATTAGCTGCCAGGGCTCGAAGATCAGAATCGCGGAAGACAGCCAGCCTACCAGGGTTGGTGTGGTAGAAGTCCTTGTTCAGGAGCTGTTATTGAGCAAGCCATCGTTAGCACCGTCTACAATTTATCCGCGGCATATGTTTGCGGAAACGTTGAGGGGGATGCGAAGCGTACATCGTTGGCCGCCTTGGCGATGTCGGAGAAAGCAGCAGGAGCAGCCATTGTGAGAGCTGTGAGGGAGAAGTAGCTAGACGACGAGATGAAGAGCGCGACGTGCTTGTTGGCAGGGAAGAAAGGGGGAGGGGAGGTATGTTGTTCAGGCGGAGGAGCAAGAAGAGCAGAAGGAACAACAAGAAGTTGGGGGAACCCGTGTCGGGACGAGTCGTCGCTGGGCCGCAGAGCCACGGGTGCGCGCGCGGTCGCTGATTGGATGGGGCAGTGGCGGCCGGCTAAACCCGCCGAGTCCCGTGACGGTGGATCTCACCCAAGGGCCGCTCGCGTCATTACCTAAGCGACACGCCCCCATTGGGACTCTGCGCCTGCCCTGCATGGCATGCGCATCGGCCTGTCGGTTGGGTCGGAGGTGGCAATCGCATCTGAGGATGCTGGATCAGGCAGTTAGACAAATACCGTACGGAGTAGGTATGTGGACTTCATGGCGTAACCCGTTCCAGCGAAGCCTCAGCATTACGCACTATTCCCGTTGCATGTCGTGATTTCACGAAGACTGCACAGGACATGATGACGCCAGACACGATGAATTCATTGGCTTCAGTCTATCAGTCTTTGGAAAGATCTAAATAACGCTATGTATGTACCAACACAAACCCGCAGAATAAATCAAAGAGCATGAAAAACAGACAAGATCTGCCCCTCCCAGCTGCGCCTTTCGAGATTCCAACATATAAAAACAGAAAAACACAAATGCTCAAATCAAGGATCTCTCTTTTTTCTTTTCTCCGGAACGATGAAACAATATAGATATCGGAGAGCGGCATGTGTACGCCCAACCTCTATTGGACGTGATCGTACTTGGCGATATGCGTCGGGATAGCCCTGTCAGGGACCAATTGTCAGCTTTCCGGGAACAACTCCTTTACCGGGGCAGTCCAGGACAGGCTTACCGTCCACTGGGATCCTTCTCTTTAGACCAGGTAGGAACCCAACGGGAGACCGTGGATGCGCAGTACGAGGGGAAGTGCTCGTCGAACATCATGCGGTACCAGTATCTAACTTGCAGTTAGCTGCTATTCGGGTCTCTGGACGAGATAAAGTAGGCTACTTACGCCTCCTTCGTTTCGGGAATGTCGTCACCCCACTCAGGCTTGGGGTTCTTCATCATCTCATCCGTGACGTGGAGTTCAGCATGGTCCTTCAGAGCGTCGATCCAGCTGTAGCCGACCCCGTCACTGAACTGCTCCTTCTGACGCCAGAGGATCTTCTCAGGCAGGTAGGGCTTGACGTCGGGTTCGTCCGAGGTGTCGAAGGCTTTCCGCAGGATGTACTTCTCGATGCGGTCCTTGGAGATCATCTTCTCCTTGGGGTCCACGCCCATGGCCACCTCGAGGAACTGCTTGTCCAGGAATGGCACGCGGGCTTCGACACCCCACGCAGAGGTCGACTTGTTCGCCCGCAGGCAGTCTGCCAGGTGCAGGTTCTTCACTCTCCTCACGGTCTCCTCATGGAAGGCCTCCTTGGAGGGTGCTGCGTGGAAGTACAGGTATCCACCGAAAATCTCGTCACTGCCCTCGCCACTCAAACCATCTTCACACCCATACCCTTGATCTTCCGGCTGAGCAGGTACATGGGAGTAGAAGCGCGGATGGTAGTAACATCGTAGGTCTCGAGGTGGTAGATGACATCGGACAGCGCATTGATACCATCTTCAATGGTGAAGGTGAAAGCGTGGTGCTTAGTGCCCAGGAACTTAGCAACCTCGAGAGCTGCCTCGGTGTCAGGAGCACCGGGCAGGCCAATGGAAAACGAGTGGAGTTCGGGCAGGGCCGTCACGGTCGACAGCTCGTTAGAGTCATCAATACCAACCAGGCCGCCAGTTCCATTGACATGTCCATTGGCGGCCTTTTGCGATTCCCTCATCCGAAGAGTCTCGCGCTGAGCAATCGCCGCCACCAAGCTGGAGTCCAGACCTCCAGACAGCAGCACGCCGTAGGGAACCTCAGCCATCAATCGCTTGCGGACCGACCTCTCGAGAGTCTCCCGGATCAACTTGTAGTCGACAGGCGCCGATGGAACATTGGTCGGGTCCCACCACTTGGGCTCGAAGTATCTCGTCATCGTATCCGTCTTGGAGTCGTAGACATGCCCAGGGGGGAAAGCAATGATCTTGTCACAGACGGGGTGCAAGCTCTTCAACTCGGAGGCAAAATAAACGGCTCCAGGAGTCTGGGAGGACCATCCCTGATAGAAGCTGGTGACACCAATCGGGTCACGAGCAGCCACAACACGGTCCTCGTTCTTGTCGTAGAGAACGAAGGAGAACATGCCATCGAGGTGCTTCGGGGCGTCGATGCCATATTTCATGTACTATAACACAATCAACTCGAGCCCTGCGCACACGAAACTTTACATTCACAACGTACCAGCGGAATGATGACTTCACAATCGGAATGTGTCTTGAAGTTGTACGGCTCGCTCAGCGACTTTCTGATAATGCGATGGTTGTAGATTTCACCATTGACCGCCAGGGCGAGGGTTTCGTCATCGTTGACAATGGGCTGAGCACCGGAGTCTGTCATGAGATTGGGTTAAAGTTAGAAGAAAAAACAAAATCCCCTCCCGTCAATCTTATATCATCCAATTCAGGATTGAATATACGCACCCACTCCGACAATGCTCAGACGCTCATGCGCAAGAACTGCGACGAGATCGGCGGTTAGAGCTTCGAGATACTACTGAGAATTAAAAAAAAAAAGTCAATTGAGCTTACTTGTCTGGTTGGCCACGAAGTTTCCGCCTGGAAGAGTAGGGTTTTAGCCGTCAGTAACGAGAGAAAAAACCAAATTGTCCCATATCATTCTCCCGATGACTCACTCCAATCCGGTCCACGATGGCGCAGGCTGTCCCCCTCAACAGTTAGTCCATCTGCTTCAATTCATGGAAGAAAGACGGATATGCTCACAGTTTGGCCATGCGCAAGGCCGTAGGCTTGAATTTCTGCACATCTGGGTGGCTGTTCGTCGATTGTCAGCTCTCCTCTGTCAAGATCTTTTTTTTTCGCGGGGCAGT